GGGGGGGGGGGCGGTGTTTAGGGCGGAGTTAGAAGGGCACAGGGCGTGGGCCCTGTGAAGTCCCCATCCCCTTCCCTGGCTCGCGTGGGCACCGCCCGCCTGCCTGGCCCACAGGCTATGGAGAAGGCTTCGACGACGTCATCATCCAGGGGGATCTGGAGGAGCTGAAGTTCGTGGCTTTTTACACCAAGTGAGAGCAACGGGGTGCAGTGAGGGCGGGAAGCAGCAGGAGCTTTGTCGGGAAGGGGAACTCATCCCAGACAAGATTCCAGGACAGGAGCCCACCCTGACCCCGCTGAGGAGGAAGGCTGGAGCTTCCCTAGGGAAATCTGAAGCCTGTGTTGGGCCAAGTGGTAAAGCGCAAGGCAGGGAGGGCTGGGTGCTCAGTACATTCCTGTTGTCCTGGGCAAGATCCCTCCCTGGGACACAGGTAGACAGGAGTGTGTCAGCGTCTTCAAGATGGGGGGCTGCTCCTGGGCATTCCTCAGACTCAGCCACCCTCTCCCTGCAGAGGTGACGAGGTGATCGCCGTGGCCAGCATGAACTACGATCCCATCGTGTCCAAGGTGGCAGAGGTGCTGGCCTCTGGCCGTACCATCCGGAAGCGGGAGGTGGAGTGAGTGTGGGCATGGGTGGCCTTGTGGGGGAGAAGTCCCCTGAAAGACTGGCTCAAGCTGCCCATGGCAGCCAGCTGCCCCACAGCCCTCCAGGGACCTTCCCTTCACTCTTGGTCCCCGTTAGTCTGGGGCTCCCAGGGCTACGAGGTTGTGTGCGGCAAAGACTGTGGCTTGGGAGTGGGCTGGTTATATGTTCTCACAGGGGACAGAGGAAGAGGGGTGTGTGTCCCAGGGCAGGACCAGTGCAGTGGTGAGGAGTCAAGGCCCACTGCTGGAGCGACCAGACAGCCTGGGATACCTGACAGGATATGGTTGTTCTGAGCCTGGCAGAAGCTAGGTGGAGAAATGCCCCAGTGATGCCCCTGGGTACACCCTGCACAGAGATGTGGGATGGTTGGCTGGGGTCCAGGGGGCACCGGACACCAGCCATTACCCTCATCCCAGCATGGTGCCAATGAGGGTCACCCTGTGGGAGAGAGCTCCCAGGGACTGGGAAAAGCCTGGAGACCAGTGGGGGCCTGGAGGCCACAAAACAGGGGTAGGCCTCAGGCTGGAAACAATGGAGGACTAAGAGGGGACATGATGAGTGACATGTTCTCTCCTGGCCTTCTCTCTGTCTCTCTCTCGCCTTCGCAAAGGCTGTTTGTGCTGCACAGCAAGTACGTCCCTCTTGTTGACCATTCTGAGTCTTTTCCACCTCAGCCCAGAACCTCCACCCAATGGTCTACCCCCCTCTGCCCAAGTACACATCCCTGCTGGTCACCAGGGCTTGGCACAGAGCAGGCCCCCTGCTGTTCTCAAGGGCCAGCTGCTCATGGTGCCTAGAGTGGGGAACTTGCTCTCTTCTGTTCTGACCCCTCCTCCCCTCATTCTGGCAGGACTGGCGACATGTCTTGGCTCACAGGGAAAGGATCCTGAGCTTGCAAGCAGTGGACTTGGGCAGGCACACTGGGGCACCAGGGACAGATGCCAAGCCCTGGGGGCAGTTGCCAACCTCCAATTTCCCAGGATCTCCCAGGGCAGAACCTGAGTCCTCCCAGTGCTTGCCTTCCGCTGCCTGGCACCTCTCCAGAGAGGCCTCTGCTGCCTCCACAAGATGCTCACTCCCCAATGCCTCAGCTGCAACTCACAGCTGGCACAGGAGATGGGACAGGTCCTGACTCTTTCCCCTGTTGGGACTGGTCCCCTGCAGGAGCCTGTAACATATTAGGTATTATCTTAAAATTAAAACGCACACATTTGCAGATCTTTGTGACTCCCAGTGTAATTGGGCCAACACTCCCGACGGAAAAAGCAGGTCACGGGAAACAAGCACAACCACAGAATGCTAAGTGCCACACCAAGGAAGTTTGGCCTGTGAGCGCCCAGAGGAGGTAGCAACTGATTCTGTCCCCTACCCCCACCCCTCACTGTCAGGGAAGGCTTTTCCAGCAAGTGCCTTTGGATCTGGATTTTTGAAGGGAGGGGACTCCAGGTAGAAGGAACAGCACGTGCAAAGGGCTTGAGTCAGGAAGGAAATGCTTCTTCGGAGGTCAGAGGCAGCTAGTGCTAGACACTTTGGGAGTATTTGCCCACTTAGGGCTGGAAAAGCTGGGTCCTGAGATGTACTCCATGCTTCCCTAGAAGCAGGTGAAGAAGCTGAGGCTCTGCTATTAGTAGGAATGAGAATCCAGAAGCTCTGCGCTACGCTGCCTACTAGCCAATAAGAACGCCCCAGGACTGGGGGCGCAAGCAGGAAGGGGATAGTTGGGGCGCCTGCGGAAGCCGTTGCGAGCCCGGAACCCTCCATTTGGGAGCCCGGGAGCGGCGGACGATCCAGAACGGAGCCACCTGCAGACGCAAGGCATGCCGGGAACAGCGAGCCCGCCACGGAGGGTCTTCGGGCAGTTCCGCATGGCAGGCGCCGGGGACGTGCGGTCTCGATGGGGTTGGGGACGGGCCTGCGCCTTCACTGGAAGGGGGAACTGTGTGCCCGTACTTCGCCGGAAATGCTTCCTAAAAAGTTACATGCTCGCAGCAAGGTCGGCAAGGTCCCCCGCTGGCCCGCAATGTCACGAGGAGCACTAGGCTCGTCGGGAAGTGCGGGCGGGCGAACGTGCGACGGTGGCCGGAAGTGACGCGCCATCGGCGCAGGGCTCTCCGGGAAATGTGGTCCCTCCGGACAGCCCAGGGCGGTGGCTGCAAATTCTACGGACCCGGTGGCCGGTTGGGCCTGGGATGGCTGGGCCCGGCGGCTCGGCGGCCCCGATCGGGGCCGGGGCGTTGGCAGGTGGCGCGCGATCTAAGGTAGCGCCCAGCGTAGACTTTGACCACAGCTGTTCAGACAGTGTCGAGTATCTGACGCTCAACTTCGGGCCCTTCGAAACAGTGCATCGCTGGAGGCGCCTCCCGCCCTGCGACGAGTTCGTGGGTGCTCGGTACGGCGGAGTTCACGAGATCCTGAGGGCCGAGGGGAATCTGGTGGGGTCGCAGGGTAGAGTCCAGGGGAGAGGCCAGGGCTTGATGACCTGGGATGGGATCTGGTAATAGTAGCTAGGGGGTGTCCAGGACCGTGTTCAGGGCAGGACAGGGAATTTCTAGGGAGTCCTAGGCTGGATGACCCCAGCAGGTTACTAGAGCTGTTGTGTTTACGGGGCCCTTGGGCTGGGGTCCCAGGTGCTGTGCGGTGGGTGGGAAGTCCAGAGTCCCTATGCGCAGGGTCCTTTGGGTGGTGGTGGATTTAGGGTTCTAGGTAGCTCTTGGCAGTTGAGAGGTGTTATCTAACTTCTCTTGCAGCCTGGGTGCTTAGTGCCATTCCTTGGTTACCCCCAGGAGAGTCGTGGCCTTACCACCTTCCACCTCTTTTTTCTTTCCAGGCGCAGTAAGCACACAGTGGTGGCCTATAAAGATGCCATCTATGTATTTGGTGGAGACAATGGGTGAGTGAGTCTGAGCATCAGGGTGTTTGGACCAGGAAGGGAGAAGCATTGTAGTCAGGGACTGGGCCTGGGCAGCTCTCACTACTGTCCTTCCAGATGTTAGCTAATCACTCTAAGCCTCAGTTTCTCCATCTGTGAGGTTCCCTGCCCTCACCTCCCAGATCATGTGGAGGATTAAATGAGATCCTGCATTCAAGACCCTCGGCACAATATCCAGTGGGTAGCACATGCTTGGCACATGGAAATGTCCCTCCTGTTCTAAGTGAGTAGACACAACCTTGAAAAAAACACATCCAGCTCTCCTGCCACTGCCAGTCCTGCCAGACAATTTTCTCTCCCTGCAATTCCCTCTGGGGTTCATCTACATGCACAATTTGAACCCAAAGGTATGGAGGACACAGTTTTATTTATTTCCTGAGTTTTTTATACTTTTTGTAAGGATTTTCCCATGTTGCTTAAAATTCCTGGTAAACAACCTTCCTGGCAACCCCCTGATGTTCTGTTGATGTGAGTACTTCCATTCACATGAACTGTCCCCAGTTATGTTGTAGCTTGTTTCTCTGTGCTGAAGGTGGAGTGTCTGTGTATGACCAGTCGTGTCCATGAGTCCTAGCCCTGCTTGTCAGCCCCATGACGTGGCCTGAAGTCCAAGAAGGGCTGGCCTTTTATTGGCACTATAACCTTGGTCCTGCAGTACTCCCTGGGGGAGCTGACTTGGGCTGGTGGGGTAGTCAGGACCCTCCTAGGACCTGCAGACTGAGCAGAAGGGCCTTCTTGGGCATGCTCCTCCAGCTTCCAGCCTGTTTCCCCAACAGTCTCTTTCCCCAAGAGCAGCTGGAGGGTTCCAATTGCAAATGCAAGTCAGCGTGTTCCTCCTCAGCTCATAACCCTGTGATGTCTCCCTGCCACTCTGACTAAAAGCCCATATCTTCCTGATAGTCGGTAAGGCCCTACATACTTGTGCCCCTACTCTTTCTTGCTGCACTGGGTCACAGTGGCCGCCTTGCTACATTTGGATTCTGTCAAGCACCCTCCAGCTCAGGCCCTTGCACTGGCTGTTCCCTCATCCCACACTTCCCACCCCTCTTCTGATGCTCCTTGTGAGCAAGGCCTTCCCTGATCACCTGGACAAACTGGCGATCATCCTCTCCCTCCCCTCCCGTGCCTCTTGTCATCTCTATTTGTCCTTGAAGCAGGCAGATGTTGGCTATTAATCTGTCTCCTCCATCAAGGCAAGGCCTGTGTTCCTTTCACCGCTGTAACCCAGCACCCAGACAACTCAATACATGTCTGTGAAATGATGGAATGAAATATGGAAGAGTCATCTACCCACAGACATTTACTGGAGTTTTAATGAGAGTCCCCAAACCAGAATAGACCTTGGTGTCCAGCACTGGGCAGTGGGTGGGAAACGGGGCACCTCTGTTCTGAATAATTTTCTGCAGCAGGTAGTTAGTATGACGACCATGTAGCAACAGCAGAAACATTTTTGAAATGTGACACTAAGAAACAGGATACAGTTTGTCTCTTTCTAGTTGCAACTTTGTAAAGACTGTCTTAGTACAAAGAAAGATGGCCTCCTGGAGCATGGGGGAGAGGGCGAATGAGGAAAGGGAGGAATTAGTCACACCACTATCTTTCAAGCCACGTGGCCGCAGGCAAAGCCTTTTATCTCTTCTGTGCAATGGAGATGGCCAGCACACCACCTGGTGCGGGGGGGCGGGGGGAGGGGGGGCCGGCACAGGCCTGGCAGGAGGGAGTGCTGAGCTCTGTTGGTTTGCCCTTCTTCCCTCATAAAGACGAGGGCTGGACAGTAACATGTTGGTTGTGTTAGGTGGTGGATTTGTTTTCCATTTTATTGTGTCATTAATGTTGTTACATTGGTTTTGTAATAAAGAGGTGGCAGGAAGATCAGAGAAGCAAAGGAGCATCGGCTGAGGTACTGGCAAGCGTCTGCATTATAGTGACGCAGCCTCAGAGGAGGGTGAAACGTACGAGTGGGGATTATGGAGGTCAGGTTGAGGTGTGAGTGGTGACTCTGGCCTTTGGGCCATTTCATGCCCTCACATCAGCCACTGGGTGGGCTCCTGAGGACCAGGGTCATGCTTTGGTCCTGACCCCAGACAGGCTGACTGTGCCTGTATGGCAGCCCCAGTGCTCACATCAGCTGGGGAGCCTCCTTTATGGTCACCACTCTCATCCCTTGGGCATTAACCCATTGCCTGGCCCTGTCCAGGTCTCAGGGGTCAGCCACCTAGCCAAAAACAGCCCCCCAGCCTTCCCCATCTCTGGGCTCCTGGCAGGGCAACGCCCTACAGAACAGACCCAGCCAATGCCACCCTCTCTCTGTCTGCCTTTCAGGAAGACGATGCTCAATGACCTCCTGCGGTTCGACGTGAAGGACTGTTCCTGGTGCAGGTGGGCAGACTTCTGCGCTCCAGGGCTCTGCCCTTCTTGCCAGAGAACAGTAGCACTGTGCTGGGTCCTGGCTGCCGGCAGAATCACTCTCGGCAGTCACTCTCATCGTGGAAAGCTAGAGAGAAGTTTCTAACAGGAGATAATCACAGCCCTGGGATGCCACTCCCAGAGCCACTCTGTTTTCCTCCATCTCCTGGGTTTCTTTTCCAGTCCACAGCTGCAGTTGATTATTCTGAATCCTGTTAATTAAGGGGGTCTGTATGGTGAAGTTGCAGGTCTCCAAATTCTGGCCCAGAAGAGCTCTTCAGTCACCAGACCATCTCCCGGGCCAGGGGCTGCTGTGGGATCTGACACGGGGCCACGATGCTTCCAGGATCTGTGCTCATACAGAGTGCTGCCCAGGGGCTGGCAAGAGTGGCTCCTGTCTGACTCCCTGCCACATGGGGCCCATCCTCTGCCAGGAAATCCCACACAGGCAGTGGGCAGCATGTAAGCCCTGGCCTCCCTCTTAGAGATACCCTCCCCAGCTGTGTGGCCTTGGGCAACACACCTGCCTTCTCTGGGCACTGCATATTTGTGCCTATTTGTAGCAGCCCTGGGAGCAGCTCACAATTGAGGGGGAGAAATGGATCCCAAGATTAAGAGATAAAGGGTTTTCCCCTGACCTCTGCCAGCTGCTCTCATAGGAGCACAGACCAACAGAGCCCCTTGTGGCACCACATTACTCTGTGTGTGACCGCCAGTCTCCAGCAGTCCTCTGTGGTAGGGTCTCATAGTCCCCCTTTGAAAAAAAGAGGATTTCAGGGCTGAGGAGATCAAGTGACTGCCCAGGACTCTCAGCTGCTGAGCCTGGCAAGCAGGGCAGCTCCGTTTTACACTGCCACCCTCTGCCCAGGAGCACCTGCTGGCACTGGGATAGCTGCAGAAGTTTATTGATTCCCTCACACTTGATTTTATCGTACAGGTAATAGTTACAGATCAATTTTAAAAATCATTCTGAAGGCTTTACAATTCTTTGTCAGAAATTGCTTAAGTATAAAACTAGGAAACACAAAAAACAAACAAAAAAGGCTGGCCAGTTGGCTCAGTTGGCTAGAATGCAGTGTTGAGAATACCGAGGTCAAGGGTTCAGACCCCCTTAACCAGCCAGCTGCCAAAAAAAAAAAAAGCTGGGAAAAGGGGCAGCCCCAGGTAATCAGTGTAATGAGCTTTTAATTCAATAAATAGAATATATGGCCCCCAGGCCACGGAATACTGTGTAGCTGCTGAGAACATGGGTTTCAATCCTGGAGTGATCTGAAGACCTAGTCACATCTTACTGTTTAGTTGAAAAAGCAAATTACAAAGTATCTACCACATGATTCCATTTAAAAAAGTTTCATGGAGAGTTGTGGACAGTGGTTTTTTGGCAGTAGGATTACATGAGGTTTAGTGCTTGGTTTTTTTTTTCCTTATTGGTTACTTTTTAAATGTTTCTATAATGAGACAGGTATGACCTTTGAAATACAAAAGTAAAAGGAAACATGGGAGTGGCAGGGGCTGCCCTGTGGGGATGTGGCTGCATGGCTGACCCCTGCTGACACTCACCACCCTGTGCCCGCCCCAGGGCCTTCACCACTGGGACGCCGCCAGCCCCACGTTACCACCACTCAGCTGTTGTCTATGGGAGCAGCATGTTTGTCTTTGGTAAGTAGCCTGTCACCTGCTAAGTACTGTGCCGTCTCCTGGGCCCACAGATGCCCTGTTCTCCTGCCGAGCCTCAGGCTCATCGGTCTTTACATGTGCTGTGCTTGGCAGGTGCTCTCTGTCCAGCCCTCGGCTTTGTCTGCCAGAGTCCTCTGAATTCCTGCGCTGGGTCAGGGCCCCTTTCTCTAACTTTCCTGAGCTCATGGAGTTGGGTTGTCTGCCTCTGGTGACTGGGTGGGGACAGAGAACAGCATCCTGCTCATCTCTGTGTCCCCAGAAGCCAGCACAGAGGCAGGCAGGCAGTTGGTGCTTGGGGTGGGGGGAGTGGGAAGGGGTTTGGAGAAGGGGTCCTGGTTTATGCATTTTGAATGGGGCCAGATTCTGCCCCGCTTCCAGGGCTTTGAAGACTTAAATACTGCCTTTGGTTATCTCTGCTGAGTGTTCACAGTCAGTTACAGATCTAACTCCTTGTCTACTCTTCCCCACTCTCACTACTGCACTTGGCCAGTCTGAAAAAAAAAATACTGCCTTTGGGTATGACAGTTTCTCACTCTCTTTCCCCAGGGGGCTATACTGGGGACATTTATTCCAATTCTAACTTGAAGAATAAAAACGACCTCTTTGAATACAAGTTTGCAACTGGTCAGTGGACGGAGTGGAAGATTGAAGGACGGTGAGAGACTTTGCTGAAACCTTTGGGACTAGGCTGGGCCCGGGGTAGCAGCAGGCCTGGGAACTGCCCCCTGTTCCATGACAGATAAGGAGCCTGAGACTTGGAGAGGCCTGAGGGCACACAGCAGGCTGGTGTCTGGGAGTTGGTGCAAACTCCCAGCTGTCCACAGCTGCTCCCAACCTTACATCCTTCCTTTCTTAAGAGACCAGGAGGCACTGCTGACAGGTGCTTCTCTGGTCCTGCTCTGCAAGTGCTCCCTTTGATATTTTGATGGCAACTGGGAGAGGGTCTGTGCCTGTGTGGATATCTGAATTCTGCACCCAGCTGCTGCCGAGCCTTACTAGTTTAGCCTCTGGTGCTGTTGCTTATTCCCGGTGTCCCAGCTGAGGCCCTTGGAGCCCCAAGGCACATGTGGCCATGGCAGCCTGGCTGTGGCCCCTGCTGCATGGGTTGGCCTCACTTGCCTCCTCCCTCGTGCACCAGGTTGCCTGTCGCTAGGTCAGCCCATGGGGCCACCGTGTACAGTGACAAGCTGTGGATCTTTGCTGGCTATGATGGCAATGCCAGGTAGGTGGTGGCCCGGCCCATGCACCCTGCCTCCGAGTGTGCTGAGGGGCAGAGCAGACCTTCCTGGCATTTGAGGGCTCAGGCTGGGAAGGGTGGGCCTGATGGATTTTGAGTGCCACTCGGTTTGGGGGTTTTTTGGGAGGGGTGTGGGGGGAAGAGGAAGCTGGACAGATGGATGTAAGGGCCACTGATCTGAGCCCTCACCTGACCTTGTGGCCCCTTGAGTTGCCCAGATGTGGGTACTCAGGCCCACGGCCAGGAGTGACTCTGAGGGGCTGAGTGAGCGAGTGGATGGTGGGCAGCGTCAGGGCTCAGACCCAGCCCTGGATTCTTGCCTGTCACAGGCATTTTCCTCCTTATTTTAGAAATATTTAAATACTAAACATATATTAATAAAATATATAAATATTAAATAATAAAAATATGAAAAACAAAATATGAATATTAAATATAACATATACTAAATATGCTATATTTTTCCAATTGCAAAAGTGTCACATGCTCATCCCCCAGAACTTTAGCATTACAGGAACTGAACAGTGATGGTGGTAGTTTCTGTGATATCCTTGGTCCTCTCCTGACCCTGGACAGTTGAGTGAGGGGCAGGCCCTGCCAATGCTATATTTTTCCAATTGCAAAAGTGTCACATGCTCATCCCCCAGAACTTTAGCATTACAGAAACTGAACAGTGATGGTGGTAGTTTCTGTGATATCCTTGGTCCTCTCCTGACCCTGGACAGTTGAGTGAGGGGCAGGCCCTGCCACACGGCCCCAGATATCATTCATGAGGCTCCTTATCCCTGTGTGGGCTGAGCAGGGCTGGCATGGCAGGGATTTGGTGCAGCACCTGCCTCCCCCTGGACCCCCGCAGTTCCCACCTCATTGCCTCATCATAGACCCCTAACCTGTGTGGCAGGTTGTTCTTCCCTGGAGCCATCCCTTCTGGGCAGGCCCAGGCCTACCCTGATAACCAGACCCAAGGGGTCCTGACCCCTTTGTTCTAATGCAGGTTGAATGACATGTGGACGATTGGCCTCCAGGACCGGGAGCTCACATGCTGGGAGGAGGTAAGGGGTGCGGGGAGCCGAGGTGGGGTGGGGAGAGGTCGGGGGTGCAGGAAGCCAGAGTGGGGTGGGCCAGAGGTAGGTTGAATGACATGTGGACGATTGGCCTCCAGGACCGGGAGCTCACATGCTGGGAGGAGGTGAGGGGTGCGGGGAGCCGAGGTGGGGTGGGGAGAGGTCGGGGGTGCAGGAAGCCAGAGTGGGGTGGGCCAGAGGCTGCTCTCTCCCCCTTGCCAAAGCCTAGCCTCGACTGCAGTCTAGCTCTTTTCCCTGACCTGCCTCGCCCTCATAACCAATTCCAGTGGTGCTGCACGGTGACTGAAGACTCCGTGCTTTGGCTGAGCAGAGCACTGTGTGTGCAGGATGTGACTTGGTCTTATTCATCCTCATTCAATCAGAGTGAGGGGAGCTGTCCAATGTCCTGCTAGGGGACTTTCCCCTTTGACTTTTTTTCTCTTTAAAAACATGGCTTTAACCCCTGATGATTTAACCCTGATAATCTTAGGCCCAGCTCTTCAAAACTGGGCCCATTTACATGGGTGAGATGGGGCTATAAGCTGTTCTCCAAAATATCCATTTGTGAACCCTCACTCACAGAAGAAGTTTCAAGAATAAAAGTCCCAGCTCAGCAGTCTTAAGTGCATAGAAGTATGAGCCCAGGTTGTGTGAGGGCCCCAGGCTGAGCTCCCCTCCCCACCTCAGGTGGCCCAGAGTGGTGAGATCCCACCATCTTGCTGCAACTTCCCTGTGGCTGTGTGCCAGGACAAGATGTTTGTGTTCTCAGGACAGAGTGGAGCCAAGATAACCAACAACCTCTTCCAGTTTGAATTCAAGGACAAGACGTGAGTGCCCTGGTGGGGGTGCATGGTCATTGCCCATGCCTACATCTGGTAGCTATGGCAGCCTGTCCTTTAGAGCCATCACATACAGCAGGAGCCTACAGCAGGAGCAGGGGTGTGCAGTGCCCCTGGCAGGCCCCTTGGGGCATGGGTGCAGCTCAGCAAAATAGGGCCTTGTCCTCTATGAGAGTGAAGGATGCCCCCTGCCCTGCAAATAGCTTGTTCAGAGCCACAAGTAACACATATGGCCAGCATAGTTCTCATATGATGTCAGAAGACTGGAGGGGGAAGTGCGTAGGCCCTGAGTACTTCTGGCCTCTGGCTCTGGGAGCGAATACAGGAGAGGGAACAAGGAGTTCCAGCTGCAGGCCAAGGGGGTTTGGGAGGGAACTTGGGAACTGCTGTGGAGACCAGGAGTGGGTCGGAGGAAGGCCAGGGCACCCCAGGCAAAGGGAACTCTGTTGAGTGAGGGTCAGCGTGGAGCAAGATGGCATGGCTCTGCTGGGCCAGGATCTGTTCTGGTTCTCCTGCTAGCTTAACAGAGGGGATTTTCTGGTGGAAGGTGCAGGGAAACCCTTGGAGGGAGAAAAGATTGTTGGAGCAGCATCAGGATGTGGGGTCTGGGCAGTCCCCACCATGGGGACTTAGCTTTGGGGATTGTCCAACTGGGCAGTGTGAGCACAGTGACCTGCCATTGCACATGTATGTCTGCAACTCCACTCCCCAGAGAGTGGGACTACCCTGCAGGTCAGATGCCAGCCCTCCTCCCTGTCACTGCAGTCTGCTCTATGGCAGGGGGAGAAGGAGGCTAAGGCAGGACCCCATGATGGGCTGCATGAAGCCAGGCAGGGCTGGTGCCAGAGCTAAGTGGAGCAAGGGATGCTGGACACACATGCTCTGGACCTCTCTCAGTACCCTGGGCTGGTCACCACAGGGACTGCAGGGGGATGTCCCAGTAGGGGCCTGCTGTGGGGAGGCCTCGGGGGGAGCAGGGTCCCTGCCCCAGCACTGGTTCACTGTCATGTGCCTTCAGGTGGACACGAATTCCCACTGAACACCTGCTCCGGGGTTCCCCACCACCCCCACAGCGGCGCTACGGACACACCATGGTGGCCTTTGACCGCCACCTATATGTGTTTGGGGGTGCAGCCGACAACACACTGCCTAACGAGTTGCATTGCTATGATGTGGACTTCCAGACCTGGGAGGTCGTCCAGCCCAGCTCAGACAGCGAGGTGAGTGCTGCCAGGGGCGAGGAAGGGGGTCCTGGGGGTCCCAACCTGCTCCTACCCTCTCCCCAGCTCCTCACAGCCTCAGGGGGCTCCCAGGACTCCAGACAGCTACCAAGAGCAAGGTCAGGATGCATGGCCCTCTGCCCTGGATTCCTGCCCCTCTAGCCTGTTCTTTATCCTGCAGCCTTCGGGCTTTTAACATTCCAGATTGCCTGGTGTCTGCACTGGGCTACTGTGCTGCAGACCTCCTCCCAGGCTGGCCCAGCCACGCAGCGAGCACCCTCCCCTGCAGCTCCTCCCTCCTCCTAGACCCACAGCCTTCTTGGGCAGGGTTGGCAGGAGACCTCTGGGTCACCTGCCTGACCCTTGCTGACTGGTCACATGTCTGAATGTTTCTCCCCACCAGGTTGGTGGGGTTGAGGTGCCCGAGCGAGTGTCTGCCTCTGAGGAGGCACCCACCCTGACTGCCGAGGAGCGGGGCGGCTTCAAGAAGTCCCGAGATGTGTTCGGCCTGGACTTTGGCACCACCTCAGCCAAGCAGCCTGCCCAGCTGGCCTCAGAGGTAAGGGCCAGGGACCGTCATTAAGACTCTATCACCCTGTGAAGCAGGTCCTGTGATTAGTCCCTTACACAGATGAAGAGTCTGAGGCCCAAAGAAGTACTTGCTCAGGGTTGCAGAGCAAAGGAGGCACAGGGCCAGGAGCCCACACCCTGCTGGCCTGCCCGTGGGGGCCCTGCTGCAGGCTCTGTCCTCTGGGGTCGGTGCAGAACAATGCACTGAGTGCTCTGTCCATGCCGTGGGTCCGCACAGCCAGACCTATCCCATGTACCTGCACAGCCCCTGCTCCTGTTGTGCCTGCGACTGCACTGGGAGCCCTCTGCCCTCGGGGACTGTGCTCTCTGGCGCCCACTTCACGGCCATGCAGTGCCGTGTTCTTGCCCACAGCCTGGCCACAGCCAGCCGCACTGTTGGAGACTGCCCCGCGACCCCCATCCCACCCTGCCAACTTGTTGCCCCCTTCCCAGCTGCCCAGCGGGAGGCTCTTCCATGCGGCTGCTGTCATCTCAGATGCCATGTACATCTTCGGGGGCACGGTGGACAACAACATCCGAAGCGGGGAGATGTACAGGTTCCAGGTGTGGGGCTCATGGACCTGCAGGGCTAGCTGTGGTGGATGGTTCCCCATCGATAGGAAACAGGCCCAGTGGGTAACGGCTGGGCTTGTCCAAGTGTGCCCATTTCTGGGGCTGAGACTGACGGGATGGAAGCCTTTCTGAGCGGTCCAGCAGTTGGGGTGGGAGACCTGAGGTTGAGGGCAAACTGAGATGACACTAGGAGTGAGGGAACCTCAGTGCAGGTGGGGCAGGGCGTGGTTGTATGGGGGCACACAGCAGAGCCAGTGGAGGGAGCTAGGCTGAGCTGGGCTTAGCACTGTGGCCTCAAGGGCCCCTACAGCTGGGGAGAGTGGAACCAAGGCTGAGAGTGGTTTCTCTTGGCTGTCCCTTCCCAGACCCAGAGGCGCAGGTGGTCATGGTGCGGGTCCATGGAAATGGAGGGGTCAGGGACAACTTCCTGGGGGAGATCAGGGTGTGCTGAGGGGTCATGAGTATGTGGGTCCAGGCACAGAGTGAGACGTCACAGTCCTGCTGAAGCCTGGGGCCCAGTGCAGGTGAGAGTAGTAGCGGGAACCCCTCTCCTGGTGTGGGGCCGCTAGAGAGTTGCAGATGCCAAAGACCATAGCGGGCAGTGCCTTTGGGGTGGGCAGGCACTTCCTCTTCCCCTCATTGGCTCGCCTGCTTCCTGGGCCCCAAGGGTCAGCATGACTGGTGGGAGCCTCAGGGTCAGCTTGCATGGTCACCCTGGGCCTGCCCTGCCATCCTCAATGTCTGGCAACACTGGGGTCTCCTTCTGCAGTTCTCCTGTTACCCCAAGTGCACTCTGCATGAAGACTATGGGCGGCTATGGGAGAGCCGCCAGTTCTGCGATGTGGAGTTTGTGCTGGGCGAGGTGGGTGCCTGTCCTTATTCTCAACCCACCTCCTGTGCCATGGAGTAGGAGGTCCGTCCCTCAGAGGCATGGCTTACTACCCCGTGGTGCCTGCCCTGTCTGGCTGTGCCTCTGTCCCCAGGGCCAGAGTCCTGTGCCCTCCACTTATGCATCATTTTTTGCACAGAAGGAGGAGTGCGTTCAGGGCCATGTGGCCATTGTCACTGCACGGAGCCGCTGGCTCCGCAGGAAGATTGTGCAGGCCCGGCAGCGGCTGGCCCAGGTGAGGTGCCCTCCCTGCCCCACCCTCACCAAGCAGCTGTGTCCATTGTCAATGGGGTGTCCTTTAGCCCCCTTCTTCTCCCCCAGAAGCTGGAAGAGGAGGCAGCCCTGGCTCCCAGGGAGGCCCCAAGTGCAGCTGTGGGTGGAGCCCGGCTGCCCCTGTTGCGCGTGGCCATCCGGGAGGCTGAGGCCCGGCCCTTTGAGGTGCTCATGCAGTTCCTCTACACTGACAAGATCAAATACCCGCGGAAAGGTCTGTCTGGAGTGGGAGTGCAGGGTGAACAGGTTGGGGTTGGAGCAGCAGAGCTAGGAGGTGGGTGTTGCTAGCCCTGCCTTACAGATGGGTCCCTTGAGGCTTAGAGGCTCTGTCACCCCTGATCACCTGTGGCCACAGCAGCCAGCATGTGGCCGAGCCACCATCTGAGGTCTTGCAAGGCCTTGTTCCCACCTGGCAGCCCCCACCCACACTCATCCTAGGAGGGAGCCCTGGGCCCTGTCCCCCAGCTCTCCCCTCCTGGGGTCCCGAGGCTCAGGTGCTCTGGGTGCAGGCCACGTGGAGGACGTGCTTCTCATCATGGACGTGTACAAGTTGGCACTGAGCTTCCAGCTGTGCCGCCTGGAGCAGCTGTGCCGCCAGTACATCGAGGCCTCAGTGGACCTGCAGAACGTGCTGGTGGTGTGTGAGAGCGCTGCCAGGCTGCAGCTGGGCCAGCTCAAGGTGCGGGCTGGGGTCACCGCTGCTGGCTGAGCCCTCCTGGGCTGGGTGGGGTGTGCCAGGCCACAGCCCCTACCCTGCCCACCTCTGCCAGTCCCTTGCCCAGCCTGTGGCCCTGGCCTGACCCCGCCTGCCTGCCCGTGCCTGTCTGTCCCAGGAGCACTGCCTGAACTTCGTGGTGAAGGAGTCCCACTTCAACCAGGTGATCATGATGAAGGAGTTTGAGCACCTCTCGTCCCCACTGATTGTGGAGATTGTGCGGCGGAAGCAGCAGCCGCCCCCTCGCACCTCCTCAGACCAGCCTGTGGACATCGGTAGGGAGCCCTGGTCCCCCTTCCCTGGGGATTGGAGGGATGGTGTTCATCTTGGGTAGGAAACCTGGGAGCCATGGAGAGGACCTGCCAGGCCCTCTGGGCCCAGGTGGGTGCTATGGGACCCCGGAGTGCTCTTCCAAGTGCAGGGACAGACAGGGGCAGCCAGTCTTCCTCACAGGAAGAACCCCCCAAACCATTGCGCTTTTCATGGGCTGTTTCTGGGGATGGACACAGGGTATGTCTTTTTGGCTAGGATGTCAGGTCTGATGGCTCAGGGTCCCAGTGATGAGTTGCTGGGCATCTCTTTTAGGCAAGTGAGGGGTTAGAACAGCGCACAGATCTAATGTGCTCCCATTGCTTCCTTGTCCCCACCTAGCCTGGGAAGGGACATCACAGGCTCCTTTGTTCCCCCAACTCTCCCTAGGGTCCATGCTGACCTTGGCTGCTGGCTCTTGGAGACACCAGAAGCCACGCAGCGGGCCTGGTTGGGGCTCCAGCAGGCAGGAGGGAGGAAGGCAGTGGGCTGGGTCTTGGAAGCTCAGACGTTGGGGGCTGTAGTGCTTGAGTTGGTCCAGGGGGCTGAGGAGAGAAGAAAACGGGCTGGTGGCCCGTCGCTGCAGGGCCAGAGTGAGGCTTCGGGCCCGGGGCAGCTTCGTTCAGGGCAGCAATGTGGACAGATGTGTGGGAGGTGGTGCCTGTGGAGTCCCGAGGCCGCAATCTGAAGCAGCCCTTTGCTCAGGATCTGCTCTTGGCATGGGGGCGCTTGCTCAGGGTCCCTCCACACCCCAGGCACATCTCTAATCCAAGACATGAAGGCGTACCTGGAGGGGGCGGGCACGGAGTTCTGCGACATCACACTGCTCCTGGACGGGAACCCGCGGCCGGCCCACAAGGCCATCTTGGCCGCTCGCTCCAGGTAGGTTTGGGGCCCAGATAGGAAGGCAGGGTGGGGCCCAGATACTGGCTTCCTTCCACTGAGCACTGGGTGTCTGCCTCCCCATCTGCAGCTACTTTGAGGCCATGTTCAGGTCATTCATGCCTGAGGATGGGCAAGTGAACATCTCCATCGGGGAGATGGTGCCCAGCCGCCAGGCCTTCGAGTCCATGCTGCGCTACATCTACTACGGGGAGGTCAACATGCCGCCTGAGGACTCACTGCATCCTCACACCCTGGGGGTGCTCCCAGTCACTGCTGAAGGGTCCTAACACCCACCTCTGGTGGCTTTGAGGCCCAACCACCCTGTCTTGGCCGGATGATCTTGGTCTGGGCCTGGTGCTGGGCCTGGTGCCCTCCAAGGGCTCTCTGGAGCAGTTGGGCAGCTGGCAGGAAGGGGATTGCAGCTAGGAGGGACAGGTGGGTTCTTGATCCTCGCAACCACCAGGAGGATGGGGTCAGTCATCGCTCTGTGTGACAGGTGAGCATATAGATTCCTCATATGTCACTTCTGACACGGGCTGTGAGGATGCTCTTTGGAGGCCTGTGAGGCTGTGGAACAGCTCTGCAAAGGTGCATTTGGGTGTTTTTCTGGGGAGAGGATTCGTGGTTTTCTTTGGATCTTGAATGGGGTCTTCGACCCCGCAAGTGGTTCAGAATGCATTTAGAGATCAAGCCAGTGTGCGGTGGGCCTGGGGCTCCAGTGGGGAGGGCAGCCAGGTGGGAGGACAGGCTTCCTTTTGGCAGCAGCTCCTTAACCAGCCTCCAGCTATCTGTTTGCGGCCCCCTACTACTATGGCTTCTACAACAACCGGCTGCAAGCGTACTGCAAGCAGAACCTGGAGATGAATGTGACGGTGCAGAATGTGCTGCAGGTAGTTGCCCTGGCACCTGCAGCCACTCCCCCAAAGGGTGGGTATGGTGGGGCCACGTCTCAGCATCCCTACTTTTGCAGATCCTGGAGGCAGCCGACAAGACACAGGCGCTGGACATGAAACGGCACTGTCTGCACATCATCGTGCACCAGTTCACCAAGGTCAGGGCCACTGGCTCAGCACTCACTGTCCCAGCCTTCTCCTTCAGGAGCCACCCAAGGCAGTGTTGGGCTGGGCGGGGATGGGGTACCTGGGGTTTGGTCATGTTCTGTAATAGCAGGCCCTGGGTATGGGTCAAGCAGAGCAGCCCCCCACTAGCCACTGTTCATCCCATTCTTGGAGCCAGCCTGAGCCCTGAGCACTTGGACCCCCAGAGGACTCTGCCACCCACCATGGCCATCACATGAATTGGTTCCATCTCGTTCTGGCCTTTTGGCCACCTCTACAGGTCTCCAAGCTGCCCACGCTGCGGTCCTTGAGCCAGCAGTTACTGCTTGACATCATTGACTCCCTTGCCTCCCACATCTCCGACAAGCAGTGCGCAGAGCTGGGTGCTGCCGACATATGAGGGCCCCACAGACAGCCTACCTGCCTGCCTGCCCACTGCAGACTGTACTGGCCATGCCTGTGCCTGTGGTAGAGTGGCTGCACCTCCTGAGCCAAGGATTAGGGCGCCGAGGGCCTCTGAAAGGAGTTGAGGGGGCATAGAGGGTGCCATTTCACTGAGGACGCCAGTCCCACAGGAAGCAAATGGTGCAGCAGATCCCCTCCCTGGCCGGCAGCCTCTCCTGGTGTGGAGGTATGGGTGGCAGGCCAGGGCTCAAAGATGGAGACCCTGCAGGAGGAGGCAGGGGGACTGGCCACCCTCTAGCAGTGTGGAGAGACTTGGAAGCATGGCCAGGGCATGGGCTTTGGGAGGCTCAGCCTTGCCCCTGTGGCCTGGGTGTGTTGTGGATCCAGGCACTGGGTCATGTTGCTGGAGGCCCTTCCATCCTAGGGGGGGAAGCTTGGCAGAATTGTTGCAGCACCAGGGAGTCCACTGGGCTGCACACTGTTCCCACCCCATCCTTCACCCACCCAGAGCTGCTGAGTGCGGACCAGTGATGGGCAGGTCTGGTCTGACCTGGAGATGAATTTTGGCGTGAAAGGCCCCGAGGTCAGCTTCCAGCCCACGGGTCAGCCATGCTGGGCTGGGCCTGGCTTTCAGAGGGGCCACAGGATTCCAGCCCACCTGTGTGCACATCAGGGTTCAGGGCTGGGCCAGGAAGAAGTCAGTGGAGGTGTCCCCAGGTCCCTTCCCTGTGTCTCTCACTAAGTATTTATTCTGTCATAGATATGCCTCCATTAAAGCCACAGCAGTGCTACCCACTACACAGGACTCACTGGCCCAGTCTCCACCGCCAGCCTCTGGTTCTCGGCCCTCTCACAGCAGACCCATAGACATGGATTCAGCCAATCTTTTCTATTTCTCCATCCAAGTTGTCAATAACTCCCTGCCTCCCCCCATCTGGGGCCACCCAGTCACGTGGGAGAGAAGGGCTTTGGGAGGCGTCCAGGCTGGGCCCTCCCCTCCCAAGAGGAACCCTGGTGGCCTGGGGTGAATGTTTCTGAACTCCCTGCCTCCCCCCATCTGGGGCCACCCAGTCACGTGGGAGAGAAGGGCTTTGGGAGGTGTCCAGGCTGGGCCCTCCCCTCCCAAGAGGAACCCTGGTGGCCTGGGGTCAATGTTTCTAGCCCATCCTCTCTGCCTTGCTCCTGCATTGCACTGTTGGCTCCTGTGGAAGAGGTGCCATTTGGGCTGGGAGCTGAGGACAAGCTGGCACATCCTCTCATCACTCTAGAGAAGGCCCTATGTGAGTCCATCCTGAGGCAGGAGGCATGGTTCTATCTTTTTGGAACCAAAAATCCAAGAACCCTTTTTGTTTTGGCTGCCAGGAAGCCAGAGCTCACCGTGGGGGAAATGAGCTGCTCTCCTCCCAGCATTAAGAGTTAATTTCCTTCCTGTGGTCATTCTCCATGCACACGGCCCTGGGTGGGTGAGTGCAGGTGAAAGTGGGGGGGGGGGGCCCAGGTGGCAGGTTGGGTACCTTCAGCCAAGGGCAGCAGTTCTATAAAGCCAGCTAGCAAGCTAGGATGTGGCCTGGGGCAGAATGAGCTGGGATGCCAGGGAGGTGCAGCAGGAGCTGAGGGGCAGTGCCAGTGAGGAAGCAGCAGGCCCCAGGCTGTTGCTGGGGAGTATGCATCAGCACCTAGGAGAAGTGGCAGCCTGGGCTGGGCAGCCAGGCAGGCTGGGTATAAGCGACCCATCCAGGGTTGTCACAAGATGTGGCTCTTGCCACACCCACAGGGCAGTCTTGTTCGAACTCCTATCCCAGAGGGGCCAGCCTGGAAACCTCCATGACCTACAAGCCCTGCTCTGTGCTGGCCCATGAATGATCTAGACATGATGTGATTAAGTGAAGTTCAAAGCATCAGATAGCAGCTTCCAGGACTACAAAGAATTCTTTCATGCTCCTTGGCTGTTGCGACTGAGGAGAGCAGGGAGAAGTCACGCCTGTAGTTAGGATCACCCCATGTACCGAGCTGTGTCAGAGAAAGATGAGGACCCACATGCCTGCCTCAGAGCTCCACTCTCCTCTCCCTAGACTATAAATGTTGGGGCCTTGCTACCTGCTGAGAATAGCAGCCTCAGGAGGTCAGTGATTGTCATCATTTTCAACTGTTTGAGATGGAAACAAGGCCTGCAGGGAAGGGGGTGGGAGAGCACCTACTGACCTGTGGGCAGAAGCCTGCTGTGCCTATGCATGATAACTGAGCCTCGACTGGGTTTTATGAGTGTTCTCCAAGGGGCTGTCCCAAGGAAAGGGTGCCTGGTGCTGCCCCTGACCTCTACTCACACCATCCTGTCCCTTCAGAGAGCCCTGTGGAGCAACGGGGGGCTGCCACCTGTCTACCTGTGCAGCACTGAGGGGTGGGTAAGAGCTGGGCTCTCTGCTCCCCACAGCTAAGAGCTTGGACCCCAGAGTTTGCAGTCACTGTACGGGGGACAGGCCTCCAGCTGAGTCACACAGCAAGGCATCCCAGAATCCACTTTATTATGGCATCTGGTGGGTCTGGTGGATGCAGTTCAGATCAGGTCCCTCCCCCGGTAGCTCCTGAGGGAGGAGGAGACCACAGTCTTGCCAGGCAGCTCCTCAGTCAGCCCTGCACCCTGCGGCCCCTCAGGCCATGCTACTGCTCAGCTGCATGGCAAAGTCCTGTACATGCTCCTTCAGAGTCTGTCGGGCATCTGCCTGTGCCCGCTTCTCCCGTGCCCGCTCTTGCTGCAGCTTGGTCAGCCGCAGCCGCAGCCGCTGCTCCCGCCGCTTGCAGGCCTGCAGCTGGCGCTGGGCCTTGTCCAGGGCATCAAGGGCTGCCTCAGCTCGCCGCTTCCAGAGCAGGGCACTGCCCACCTGGTAGCTGTGCTCATTCTGGATGTAAGCTCCAGCAGGTGGTGGCAGGCGCAGCATGTAGGCTGAGGGGGAAACAGGCCGTGGCTCAAGAGGGGAGGACTGCCGCTCTGGAGAGGGCTGGGCACTGCAGCCAGCCTCATCTGCCTGAGCACCCAGGGGGCCCAGAAGGTCTGAGAATGGGCTGCTAAGGCCAGGCTCCAGCCTCCCTGCTGGGGAGGCAGGCAAAGTGGAAGGTGCTGAGGCCTCTTCCACAGGAAAGCAGGTGACATCAGCAGGCGGAGGTGGAGAAAATGGAGTCGTGGGCCCTCGGCCCTCAGAGCAGCTGGGGGAAGAGACAGAATGACAGGCCAGGAAAGGGCTTGCGAGATTCCACTTCACCAGCCCACCTGGCCCCTAACACCTGAACCCGCTCCACAGGTTCTGTGCAGCAAGAAGCCTGTCCAGGAAGACTGCTGACAGACATCTTAAGGCCCAGTCCCACAGCCTTGGGGTGGAGTGGGGCATCCTCCCACCTGCAGCACATACCGCTTCCTGCATCGCCGGAGCCGGCTGACGTCCGGGGGCCCAGGTGGATAACTGTGCCCCTTGGTCTTGGTTGTCTGGCGCAACTTGGAGAAAGATTCAAATATGGTAGGGACTGCCCCCTCCTTCAGTCTGTGATATCCACTGTGGGGAAAAGCAGCCCAGATGAGCTGGAGAACAAGTGCCACCACCCAGGCTGATCAACCCTGGGTAAGAAGCCAGCGCATGCTCGAGCACCTGAGTGAGTTCCCCAGTACGAGCGCTGTGGGAGGCTGGAAGGTATACTGGAACAGTTGAGTTTAGAGAATGCTTGGTTAGACAGAGTTACACCAATCTCTTTCCGGCAGGACTCTTCAAAGTTAAGGTGCATGGAAAGGCTCCAGCAGCAGAGTTCGGTTGACCAGTCAAAAATTTTTTGATTTGTGGACTTGCTGAGAGAACCGGGGTTCTGAAGAACACCCTCTGTAAAGGCTAATGTTTTTGTCTTGTGTCACTGGCACAGTGATCATGGGGGTAGGTTTTACTGAGAACGACAGGCCAGGCAAGGGCAGACTGGGAAGAGGAAAGACCCCCCTTGGAAACAGGTCTGCCTGTCTGCCTGGCAGGCTGTCCTCGTGCCAGGTGCTCAAGAGACCTCCCCACCAGAACTACTGCTGCCCCACCCAGACCCTATGCTGGCTGGCAATGAGGCCCACCTGATTCCCACCAGCTCAAAGCAGTTCTCCTCGAAGTGTTTGGAGCAGAAGTAGATGTACTCGGACGCCGGGTCCCACAGGCCCTGGCCGCTGGGGTCCAGCCGCTGGCAGTTGGCCAGCCACAAGCCTCGCCTCGGGTTGTCCTTCTTGGGAAGTCTGTGGAGGTACAAACCCGTGAGCACCCGGCAGCCCACAGCCCTGGGCTCATACCCAAGCTCCCTAGATAGGAAACGCAGTCCCTGCACACGCCGCCCAGGACCTCCCTGCGACCCTGCGGGGTAAGCACCACCCGCCGGGGGACAGACGAGAAAACTAAAGCCGCGAAAAAGCAACTCGCTCAGCGTCAATTAGCAGGTGAGAGTCAGGGCAGCGGCTCCAAGCCTGGTAGACCTCCCGTCCTGCCTTCCCCGACTACATCCGGTCCCAGGGGGACGGCCCCTTCACTCTCCCACCCACAAATTCAAGCCTCGCCTGGACCCGAGAAAGGCACGGGGCGCATGCGCAGTAGCGTCCCAACGAGGCGGGCAACACCAGCGCATGCTCGCTGACCTGTGGAAAGAGATGCCGCGGTTGCGCGTCTCGCGCGTGTCCCGAGTGCAACAGCCGGCGGCTGAGCAGTGACGCGGCATCTGGCGGGAGGCAGGAGCTAGGTCTCAGGCGGCTGTCCGGGACTGGAGGGGCCTCGCGGCCCCAGCCGCCGCTCCGCTCTAGGGGCCCTGGCCTGCAGGTTACCCCCGGCTCGATCGCGCCCCAACCCCGTCCCCGCCCGTCCTCTTGACTCCTGTCAGCGGCACTCACGGTCTCGCCATTGCTGCGCCACCGAAGTCTCGCGGAGGGTGGCGCGCGGCGGAAGTTGGTACCATAGAGTCTCAAGAGCTGGGCCCGAGGGGCGGGGCGAGGCCCTGGCGGGCGGGGACCGGAAGCGGCCGGAGCGTGCTCCCCGGTTCCTGCCTAACGGCTCTATCAGTCACGCGAATCTCCACTTTGTCCGTCCGAGGCTGATTCTTTTCCGTGGACGCAGCAGCGCGGAGAGGTGGCCCCAGTGTGCGAACCTGCGCTGTGTGGCGCCGGGAACCGGCAGGGCCCCAGGAGCTTCGCAAGCCGCTGGGGCGAAACTCCACCGAGAAAATGAGGCCGGGCCGCTTGCACGGAAGTCCCCAACAAAAATCAGTGCTCCAAACTTACTCCCGGGAGCCAGGGACGAGACGTGGGGGAGGGCGGGCGGCGACTCTTGGACACTGTGGGTATAGGCAGGAGGTCCTGTGGTTGCCACCTCCGGCAGGAACGCGACAGAGGAAAACCTAAGGACGTCCACGGAAACGGAGTGTCTGGAACTGAGTTTGTGCAGCCCTTGGACACAACGGGGATGAGGGTGCCTCCCTGACCCTTGCTACAAGACTGAGGATGACAGCAGCCACTCCACGCCGTTGTAAAACAAAAACCAGACTCTGCTAGTCGCCAGAGAACATCAGTGTGATGTGAAGGACTTAATGTTTGCATTTAAAGTAATCAAAGCATTTTCCCCTAATTCCCTCAGCCAGGTGTTTTGAAGCCTTCTTTCTGGGAATAATATAGTAACTAAACAAACATACAGATATGCTTAATAATTTCTTAGAAGAAACAAACGGACGTTTTTCCCCCAGAAAATCCACGTGGAAAACTCAGGTATCTGGACGGGAAATTTTGCCAAAATACAGCACGC